TTTTATACGTTACGTATAATATCAGTATCGCCACTTTCTTGCAGATATTAATTTTTTCTTTACGTTAATTAAACCGTTTATTTTGTTTTTGCGCACAAAAAGGGCAATTCCATTTTTATATATATATATATATATATATATATATATATATATATATATTTATATATATATATATTTATATATATATATATATATATATATATATATATATATATATATATATATATATATATATATATATATATATTTATATATATATATATATATATATATATATATATATATATATATATATATATATATATATATATATATCCTTATAGTGTAATTGAAAGAGACTTTTATGGTAAAAAAAGTCTCTCGACTACAATTTTTTTAGCTTGTCTCTTAAGCTGACGTCGAAATGTCAAAGCAATTAAATTAATGCTGAAGTACATTAAATTTTATTGTTTTTTAAAAAACCCGCAATAATAATGACTAGAAAGTTTTTTTTAATTAGTGGTGTTATTGTTTTTGTTTTATTAAAAAACATTTTTAAAACACGCGTAAGTGTTGCTACATCGACTATCTTATAGCCTGCTGCTACAAGGGAGTGTTGCTACATCGACTATCTTATAGCCTGACTCGCAACGGAGTGCTGCTACATCGACTGACAAATAGCTTGACTCGCAAGGGAGTACTGCTACATAGACTGACAAATAGCTTGACTCGCAAGGGAGTGCTGCTACATCGACTGAGGGTTTGGTTTGGGCAGGCAGTCTATCATTTTAAAAAATAAATTTTTTTTTTGAAGTTTTCAACATTTTCTGGTCAGGCTTATTAACGCGCTCTTTTTTTGATTGGTTTACGAGCATGATTTCTTGATGTGCTAATGTTGCTCCATCTCTTCTATCTTTTCAAAACACCAGTTGAGAAGGTCTTGTGATTACTTGGACACATCGTTAAATAGCTTGCCCATGAACAGGAAAACGAGGTACACACATCGGAATATTATTGTATTTTAAAAGTTCATCCTTTGAAAATAAACATGTAAGTAAAGGTTCGTGTACATACAAAATCAAATCAACTAGATCTAAAAGTGATTCAGCATTTTTATTATGAATATAATGTTTTCTACTTCTTACATTAGTGTTTCCGTATTTTAAATCTCCTCTTAATTTTAAAATTGTTTCAACTGCAAATTGTCTTTCTGCTTTTTCTAGACTACACAACAATACTTGAAGAACATTTTCACTATGAGCATTCCATGAAGATGACAAAACATAGGGCATTACAATGTCTTTAACTTTAAGTCTTTGATAAGAAAGAAGCTTTAATTGCTTGAGTATATGGTTAGGCCCTTCAGTCCACTTCCACTTTACTTTGATTTCAAACCAAAGTGGCGCATAAACTCCAACAATAAACTCCACCAGAAGTTGAAGATTATATGTTTCTTCAACTGAAAGTACAATTTCGGAGCACCAAAGTAAACAAATTCTATTTGAGAAATTCAACCATCTTACATGCGAATTTGGCCCAATTTCTTTACCTTTAAGACTTTCCGGAAAAACCCCAGCGTTAATTGCATGGGTAATAATAAAGATACTTTTGATCATCTAATAGCGATTTTACAACTTCAGAGTCAAGTTCTATTATTGCATTAGGAAATTCAATTTTTTAATGCTATCTTTGACTTTAAAGCTAGTTGCACGTGAAGATAAAACATTGTGACAATGCAATTCAAAAATTTACTTCATTTTTGACTTGATATTTTATTTTTATAACATCTCTCTGAAATTTCTAATTTTCTAGGTTTATGACAATTACTGTTTTGTGGTCATTTTTTTAAAAGCAAGGCGTACTGATATATGTTTGATTTGGTTAGACGTCTAAAAACTTTCATGAAGCAAAGGAAAAAATATCATGAGTTCAAAAATGATATTGTCAAAGTAAAAAGCTTTATTTCTATGACCCTGTCTAGACAGGGTCAACTTGCGTAAGGTCTAGACAGGGTCAACTTGCGTAAGGTCTAGACAGGGTCAACTTGCGTAAGGTCTAGACAGGGTCAACTTGCGTAAGGTCTAGACAGGGTCAACTTGCGTAAGGTCTAGACAGGGTCAACTTGCGTAAGGTCTAGACAGGGTCAACTTGCGTAAGGTCTAGACAGGGTCAACTTGCGTAAGGTCTAGACAGGGTCAACTTGCGTAAGGTCTAGACAGGGTCAACTTGCGTAAGGTCTAGACAGGGTCAACTTGCGTAAGGTCTAGACAGGGTCATAGAAATAAAGCCTTTTACTTTGACAATATCATTTTTGAACTCATGATATTTCTTTCTTTGCTTCATGAAATTTTTTTATAAATAATAACAATAAAAGGACATATCAGCATTTTTTGAAATCAATAATTCAAAAATAACATTATTGAAACCAGCAATTCAAAATAAAATATCGGTGGAATCTTATTTTTAAATAAAACTACAGCAAGAAGAATTTTTTTCCATAAGATTTTTATAACTAACAAGCAACGTAAAGATCAGGTTAACTAAAATCCGTTTTAAAAGTCACAGTTTTTCTGGCTGTCCTAACTGCTTTCTCTTATAATCAAAGTATAATTTTTAAAAATAGATGAAGTTATAGAATGATACATTAAGTCTTCTTTGATTAAAGAGATAGTTAAAGGCAGGATGCTTGTAGAATCCAAGAAAACTTCGACTACAAAACGTCACGTAGATGAGCAATGGTCTGATAATAATAAATAACAATAATAAGTTAATAGTAATTTTTTTTAGAGTTTTTCGAAAAAACTGACATTTTTTAAACGTCCTGCGCCCACAAAAGATGAAAAAATAAATTATTAACGTCTTTTCTTATACCCTAATACATAAAAAAAATATTGCACGCCATCCCATTTCTAACATTTATATAAAGGTATTTATTTGTAAAATCCAAAATGGTAGACATTTTTTAATACGTCCACCGTATTTGTATAGCATTAAGAAAAGTAGCACCGAATATTATGTTTTATTTTTATGTCTATGTTATGTTTGATTGTTTTTTGATAATTGTCTTACCTTTGGCTAATATAAAAATGGCCGAAAAATGCCAATATGATGAGTTTTTCGTAAAACTGACATTTTTCAAACACCCTGCGCCAAAACACTAGATGAACTTTTTAAGAAGAAAAAAAATTATTCACGTCTCTTCTAATATCCTAATATATATAAAAATTATTGCGCGCGCTCCCATATTCAAAATTTTAAAAGTAGGGGAGAGCGGGGTTGGTTGTCACGCGGGTTGGTTGTCACAAAGTTTATTACAGGAAATGTAAATAAGATATAGAAATTTCAAATTATGCAATGGAAATGTTATATAAAAAAAAACATTTTTACAGTAATTTTTATCTTTTTTTAGCGTGCAGAAGAAAAGTTATTCGTTTTTAAAGGTTTTTGATATGAAAAAGTAAAATTTCGCCTACTCAGAAATTTTCTTTTACCAAACGAACATTATTTTATTGTGTTTTGAATGTAGATTTATAAAGTACTTTATTCATTTGAGTAACTTAATCCGTAAAAAATTATCATGAAATTCTCACGCTTTTAGGTAAATGTACAGTTGTCCAGCAACTTACTCAGAAGGGGTTGCTTGTCACAAAATATATGGGGATGGTTGTCACACTTGCCTCGACTCCATGCGCTGCAAATTAAACGCCGCTTGCAGATTTTTTATTGGCTTTGTTTATTTTCCGCATTATTGAGGAATATTTTAATGTTTAAGATATTATTTAAAAATCTAAAGTCAAAGTGTTATATTTGTTTAACTAAATATCTGTAATCTAAATTATTTTTATTTCAACGTGCATAACTTTAGATTCCGATCCAATGTTTAGTATAATTATAGAAAAAGGATTGCAGAAGTTCAACTGTTTATTGTTTTGTTTACAAACTAAACAACTAGCTGTTGTTTAGTTTGTAAAACTGTCTGTTGTTTTGTTTGTGCATTGTTTATATTTAGTGCACCTATTGTTTTGAATCATTTTCCAACAGCCGATCAAGAGAACAGTGGATTCAATGTCAGGTTTGCCAAAAACGGTCTCATGAAGAATGCACACCAGGCTGACAACAGTTTATTTGTGAATTGTGTTCTTTATCCAATAATTTTTTAAAAAAACCAAACCTAAAAACATTTATAGTGATAAACTAAATTTGTTAATTGTGTTATATTTAAAATATATATATTTCAGTTTATAGTATTTTATTTTTATTTTTCTTAGTAAAACATAAACGAAATTAATTTGTACTCGTTTTACATTAAATTCTTATCTAAACTTGTCAAAATCCAAATGTGACAATCAACCCCGCACCATGTGACAACCTACCCCGTGAGCGGGGCTAGTTGTCACACAGAAGTGGTCTTTGAAAAATGATTTTACAGCAATAAATATTTCACTCAATGTCATAAAAATATTACAATAGTTACTGGAAATAGTTAAACTAGCTTTGTGCAAAGTTTGGCATTGATTGGATGAAAATTAAAAGCTGAGCAGCCTAAAATGTAAAAAGTGTGACAACCAACCCCGCTCTCCCCTACGACCCACCCTAATGCTCACATCAAGTATAATTTAAAACTGCCGTATCTTTTGCTTCAAGTTATTTTTTTTAACTTTACTAATCAACTTAATTTTAACTTTATAAAAATCTACTTAAAAAAAAACTGTGTCATATTTCAAAAAAAGCAACATTTTAAGCTGAAATTAAGTTGTTATTCCTTACAGTCTATGAACTTATGCGAAAAAAAAAAAAAAAAAAGTTAAAAATATTTAGGCTGAAAAAAATTAAAAAAACATATGAAAGCAATTAACTCAAGAAATAGACAAACCATTAGACCGTGCAATATAACATAAAATTGTTTTGTAAATAAAAATAAGTTTAAATAAAAAAGTGAGTAAAGTAGTTAACATAAACTTTTATTCAAATCAATAAACCATTTTAAACGTAAATAGTCTTTAGACAATGTTTTAGTTTATGGTTTAGTCAGTCGGGTGTAATAGTAATTAGAAAAAACTTTTTCTTGTTCCTCGAACCATTTTTTCAGACATTTTAAACATGAGGAGCTTTTTATTTTTTCATTTGGCAGTTGTTGCATCTCTGCTATTTGTATGTGATACTAATAAATTAACTAAATCATTCAGTAAGTTAATTGGAAGTAAGCCCAGTTGCAAAGACATTCTAAAAAATAAAGGGGTAAGAAAAAAGCTGTTTAATGCAACAAAAAGGTTGAATAATCAAGTTGCTATTTTTTTCTTTAACAAAAGTTACGTATTTTTAGACGCCAGATAAGAAAAATTTCTCTGAGTTTAAAAACTATGGTTACCCAAATTTTGACGATAAGACAACAAAGATAAAGCTTGAACCAAGGGGTCCACTTTCTGTTCTAAATGGATTTAAAATCCCTATAAGATTGGGAGCGGAAGATTATTGTATCGCCGGTGATTCAGACAAATTAAAAACTTTTTTTGAATGTTTTGGGCAATATGAAGTGATTGGGTCAGAATTAGATATGGAAGGAAAGTGGGTAAATAACACCGGAACTATAAAAATACAAATATCAAACTTATCTAAAGGACCAAAGCTAACAGACAGCATGTATGAAATGGTTTTTAAAATGGGATTGGATAAAATCCAGAATTATTTAGATCCAAGTAAAATAATTGGCTTAGAAATATTTGGTGGCCCTAAAGGTAATTTAAAAGACCTTAAAAAGCTAAAAAAAGCATGGAATACAGCTAAAAAATACATACCACTTCCCGAAAATGCAGTTAATAAAATTGCAGAAATTTCTGCCAGGGAAATTTCCCTGCCAGACAAAATTGAACAAGTTTTTCAACTAATAAAAAAAGAAACGGATGCTATAAAAGCTTCAAAATCATCATGGAAGGAACCAAAAAACGTCACAAAAAATAAAGAATTTTTAGTTACATTGACGATGTATGCAAGACCTGAAAATAATGTGAGAGCTACCTACGACACTTTAAAACCAACTGTTACCCTGGAAGAGATTGGTACTGCTGTAAACACATTTATCACGAAGATACTAAAGTAACCACAGTACTAAAATAAGCCAGCCTAAAAAAACCATTTCTTTATTAAGTAAAATGTAATCTTGAGACTGTCATAAAAAATTAAATATAAAGCTTATATTAATGTTTTTTTTACGCGGAAACTCAGCTGCAAAAAATCTTTTAAAATTCTGAAAACTTTTTTAATTAATTGTTCAATGTTTTATAAGTCGATTTAATAATCATTCTTTATTCAACTAAAAACAAATTTAAATTATTAATTCAATATTTATTTCAATATTAAAAATTAAACAATTTTTAAAATTCTAGATAGAATTTTAAAAATTGTTTAATTTAAGTTTTATCCTAAAATTTAAGTTTATCCTAAGATTCTTCTAAAATTTTTAGAATTTTAAGAAGAATCTAAGGATAAACTTTATAAAGCTAACTACTGTTAAACCTTCATTTAATTAAGTTATTACTTTGTAAATATTAAAAAAAATTAAAAATAATATTTAAAAAGTCATTTAATATATTATTCAAGTTATTTTTGGTTTTAGATAAAAAGCCTTAAGCAAGTTCTTTAAGCAAGTTCGTTAAGCAAGTTCTTTAAGCAAGTTCTTTAAGCAAGCAAATTTTTGGTTTTAGATAAAAAGCATTTTTTTAATCAAAAAAAATTTGATTAATTATCTTTTGATTTATAGCTCTTTTACATCAAATTGTTTTAAATTGGATTGAACATCTTCTCAAGTTATTCTAAAATTCAGGCAAGGCAATATTAATTTTCTTTACAAAAAGAATAATGTTGGCCAACATGATGTCTACAACATGATGATACCTTTTATGGTTAAACTGTTACAAGTAAGATTTTTGCAAACTCAGTTATATAATTCCCAAGCGGCACATCTGGTATTGTAAATAGTTAGAGTGTTTATCACGTATTATATACCGCTGTTGATACCAGAAAAGTGTGTATCTAGTTATAATTTTTAAATTCGAGCAAAATTTGGACGAAGAAAACGGCTCCATTAAGATTGGATTTCTCCAATAAGGTTGGACCTAGCAATACCACAGTTATCATATGCTATTGTTAAATTATGTTATCATTTATAACTCATCACTGCAAACTGTAGCGGTAATATATCTGTTATCACATAATATACGTGATAATAGATAATAAATAAAAACCCAGAAGTATAGATAGAATAAACCTATCTATACTTCTGTTAAATATACTGTTGTTGTTGTGGCTACATATTAGTGTAAACTGTACTTACAGTTTCCACTAACATGTTGATATACGTGATAATGCTTTAGCGATCAATATTTATTGTTCTGCTAAAGTGTATACTAACATATCAGTGCAAACTGTAATGGAGGCATACCTACATAGATATACCCCCGTTACAGTTTGCACTGATATGTTGGTATATGAAATCACACTTTAACAGAACAATAAATATTGGTTGGCTAAAGCATTACCACGTATATCAACATATCAGTGGAAAGTGTAAGTACAGTTTGCACTGATATGTTGATATATGTGAGATTTCTTTAGCCGAACAATATTTAACGTTTTGCTAAAGTATTATTACAATTACCGATATACTTAACATATATTTATTTTCACAAATAATATATGTGCTAATAGATATATCTCCAGTACTGGAGATAAATTTATTATCACATATATTATAATAAATATTGATAATAAATATGTCTCTATTACTGTTTTTCCTTATATGCTGTCAAGTTCATTAGACAAACTATTAGCTAAAGACAGAGTTCTTAGTCGTTGGCCTTGGCCTTGATTTTAGCTCTGAAAATTTTGGCTTTAGCCTTGATTGTTTTGGCTTTGGCCTTAACCTTAAAAATAAAATACATAAAAGTAACGAACTAAAAGTTTTCATTCTTTATTTTAATGTATTTTTGTTTTCAGTGTTCATATATATCTACAAATATGTTTTCTTATTGACTTTGTTAGATTCTGCGCAGAACCTTGGTTTATTTTTACAACATGTTGTTTTTTTTTGTTTGTTTTTTTTGTTTTGTTATTTAGGTGCCCCGAGAAGACCTAATGGTCTTGTCACAGAGCAACGCGGAAATGCATTTAAACAGGAAATTCACGCCTCTTTCCTTACCGTGACGCAAAAATTTGTCCAGAGCTCGTTTTGAACCTGGATCTCCTGCTTATTAAGCAAGCGCTCTAACCACTGCGCCACGGCCTTCTCTTTATGTATAGATGGAACCTTTTTACATAGAAAGATGGAATCTTTCTATGTAAAAAGATTCCATCTATACATAGAGATTTTTTTATATATCTTTTTGTGTAAACATTCTCTATGTATAGATTCCATCTATTATTTACATAGAAAGATAAAACCTCTATGTATTGTAAGGTCATGAAAACACTTCTTAGCGAGAGAGAGAGATTTTATAAAGAAACTGCAAGAGTATTTCTTATTGTTATAAGAAATACTCTTGCAGTTTATTTATAAAATATATAAAACAGCATCAGTTTTTTAAAAACTTAACTGAAATTATATATATCCGATAATAAATACAAAATAAACTCACTAGTTTAGATATGCATTAAAGTTATTATTTAAATTTCTCTATTTATTGTTAAGGTTGTTAAAGATATGTATCACACCCACGCTGAACCAGATTTTAGTTTGATGAAATGACATAGGGTTGTGTCATACTTTTTTGAAATTGTTAGAACCATACCATTAAGGAAAAGTTAGTAAAAAAAATCATAAAACTAATCTTTAAAAAATACTTGGGTTTATACTGGGGTCAAAACGGTTCCCGAACTTTGGCCCCCCTCTGGTTGATTATGAGACTAACCCGAGGGGGGAAAGCAACTGTTTTATATTTTGTTAAATAATATAACTAGTTATTAGTTGCCCCTTCTAGATGGTCTAAAAAACATCCCGAGGGGCACCAAAGTTCATCACCTATTTTGACCCGTGTGTATATAATCATTATTAAACTTTATAAATAAGTTTATAAAGAACGAATAATATATTTTACTTAAAACAAAATGTTAAAAGTCACTTTGTCAATCTAGTCAAATATGTTTTCATTGAAAAAATAAAATAAAAAAGAATACAAATATTGTACAGTAGGTTTATACTGAACAATAGTTTTATACTGAACAATACAAAACAGACCGCAACTCATCATTACCACATATGTAATCAAACTTCTTAATTCTGCATATTTTCATTTTGTTTTAACTTTGAAGTATAATAAACAACGCTTGTAAGTAATATTAAATGGTATTTAATAAGGAACCCATATACTATAATAGTCAGCATTTATATTTGTATTATATTATGTTATATTTGTATAGTGTGTTTGAAACATTTTTTAAAGAATTATTATATGGTATATAAATCTTTATATTTTAGGTATAATAAAAAGTGTGTTTTCTCTGTGTTCTTAAATTGTTTTATTTTTCCAGATAGAATGAGTTTATTTAAACCAACCTGTACTCATGAGGAAAACAGGAGAAAAGTGTATTTATATTGTGCCAAAAAAACAATTAAACCTAACGATATCAATGTACCGTGGATTAAAAATTTAGTGAATTTTAAATACAACATTAAAAATTCATTCTATCCTAAAGCTATTTGAGAATCTTGCAAAAACAGTATAAGAAGCACACCCACGCTGAATCAGATTTTAGTTTGATGAAATGACATAGGGTTGTGTCATACCTTTTTGAAATTGTTAGAACCATACCATTAAGGGAAAGTTAGTAAAAAAAATCATAAAACTAATCTTTAAAAAATACTTGGGTTTATACTGGGGTCAAAACGGTTCCCGAACTTTGGCCCCCCTCTGGTTGATTATGAGACTAACCCGAGGGGGGAAAGCAACTGTTTTATATTTTGTTAAATAATATAACTAGTTATTAGTTGCCCCTTCTAGATGGTCTAAAAAACATCCCGAGGGGCACCAAAGTTCATCACCTATTTTGACCCGTGTGTATATAATCATTATTAAACTTTATAAATAAGTTTATAAAGAACGAATAATATATTTTACTTAAAACAAAATGTTAAAAGTCACTTTGTCAATCTAGTCAAATATGTTTTCATTGAAAAAATAAAATAAAAAAGAATACAAATATTGTACAGTAGGTTTATACTGAACAATAGTTTTATACTGAACAATACAAAACAGACCGCAACTCATCATTACCACATATGTAATCAAACTTCTTAATTCTGCATATTTTCATTTTGTTTTAACTTTAAAAATTGAAGTATAATAAACAACGCTTGTAAGTTATATTAAATGGTATTTAATAAGGAACCCATATACTATAATAGTCAGCATTTATATTTGTATTATATTATGTTATATTTGTATAGTGTGTTTGAAACATTTTTTAAAGAATTATTATATGGTATATAAATCTTTATATTTTAGGTATAATAAAAAGTGTGTTTTCTCTGTGTTCTTAAATTGTTTTATTTTTCCAGATAGAATGAGTTTATTTAAACCAACCTGTACTCATGAGGAAAACAGGAGAAAAGTGTATTTATATTGTGCCAAAAAAACAATTAAACCTAACGATATCAATGTACCGTGGATTAAAAATTTAGTGAATTTTAAATACAACATTAAAAATTCATTCTATCCTAAAGCTATTTGAGAATCTTGCAAAAACAGTATAAGAAGCACACCCACGCTGAATCAGATTTTAGTTTGATGAAATGACATAGGGTTGTGTCATACCTTTTTGAAATTATTAGAACCATACCATTCAGGGAAAGTTTGTGAAAAAAATCATAAAACTAATCTTTAAAAAATAGTTGGGTTTATACAGGGGTAAAATAGGGTCCTGGACTAAGGCGCCCCTCTAACTTATATCAAGACCCACCACAGGGGTGCATGCAATTATAGTACATTTTGTCAGAAAATATGACTAGTCGTTATATGTCCCCCTCAGATCGGTCTTAAAAACAGTCTGAGGGGTGCCAATGCAAGGTACTTTTTTCTTCTTAATATTAAAAGGGAAAAAAAAACATTATTTTCAGAAAATATTTATTAAACATTATTTAAATGTTTACCATTGAAACTAACTACTGCTTTTTTCAAATACTTTACATACTTTTGATGGTT